AAATGACTTTTATTTTGCCTATACTGTACACGATATAGGCAAATAGAAGGTATTCACTTGTAAAGGATTTCATTGCAGAATAGGAAAGGATGTCTGAAAGGGTTGAGAAGCACTGGTCTGAGCTTTTCCTCCATCTCATTAAGGGCTCCGCCAATCGGAGGCTCTTGGAGAAGGGAAGTCAGTCTGGACAGGGGTGGTGGACAGGCAAAAGGCTAGGTTAAGGATAGAAAGTGGAGGGCGTGGATGGCCTGAGTCTGGTCAGATGGAAGAGAGTTTCTGCCGTGATAGAAACCTGCTTCCTTTCCCCACGTCCTGCTCTTGGAGGAGACAGAATTGGATGGAATGGGATGCTTAGGAGATGATGGCCTTGTGGGGCATCTCCAAGTCTGCAGAAGCAGCAAAGTCCAGTAGATGGCGCCACAAGGATATCTGAGAGTGGAGGAGCAGCCAGGGCTAACCAATGGAGGCTTGGTGGCAGTATAATTGTATTTGGGAAAACATACACGAGGAAACGTGAGATCTTATAACCAGGAGTCATGAAATAAATTCTCTTGATTGAGGATCATGATGGCAATTCTGGATTCAGGAAATTTCTCAACAGCTCTTTTTCCCTTCAGACAGACCACCAGCCCAACCTCCGTTTTTGGTGACTGGTTCGCATCCTCTGTATTCAAATTCTCCTCGTGGCTCTCCTTTCGTTCTATTCTTAGTCGTGCCAACTCCTGTTTCCTTGCCACAGACACCATCTGAAGTTTCCTTGGTCTTTCACAGGCAGAGCAAATTTAAATATTTGTGTTTCATTTGATACTTTCCCCAACTACTTTTAGAGGCTCCCTTGGAAAAAATCAACAGGCTTATGAAAGGGCTTTTCTCAGTAGAAGTAAGCATATTGTCATTATTAGTAAAAATAATTTATATTCTATTTTTCTAGGCTAGCAATAGCTGCATTCTCTTTTGGGGAAAGGTTGTGGTTTATAGCTATGTGTAAAAGAAACCAAACCAAACATTCAGAGAAACAGATAATCTTTCTGAAGGAATAGACCTCATACTGCAAGAATGTCAATTTTTCACAATGGTTACCTCAAAATACATTTCAGATAAATCAGATGTTAAGCATTAAGAAATCTATATAAAACTAGATGATAACCAATCAGGATAGTTATAAAGTAGGTATAGGTTTGGACTCCTGGTGGCCCGGAGCTGTGACTTGGGGTAGCAGCTCCCCAGGCTTGTCTTCTGGGCCATCTCTGGGTGGGTTTTAACCACCAATGCTTCAGAGAATAGTTGAGCTTTTAATGACTTTGCCAATCAGGGACAATTAGCACATTAGAGGTATTGTTAAAAAAAAATTTAGTACAACCTTAGGGATAAAACAAAGGAGTTCAATTGAAGAAAATACACCTAGATCTAAGTGGAACCCCCAAACAAAACCACCGTGATTGATTTGATATCGACTCCTGGCAATCTACGTACGGTTTCCAAGATTGTGACTCTTTACAGGAGCCAACAGCCTCATCTTTCTCCTGAGGAGCAGCGGGTGGGTTTGAACTTTGACAAAGGGGCCAATGCTCATCCCACAACACCACCAGGCCCCTGGCAGCATGAAGGTAAATACAGAGCATTCTACCAGTTTAAGCAGAGGCAACCCTGGCAGCAACCCACTGCCACCAGTCAAATCTGGCCCCCAGTGACCCACTGGGTGGTTTCTGAGATTGTGAATTCTTTCCTGGAACAGACAGCTTCATTTTCATCCTGCCCAAGTGACTGGGGGGTTCACAAGGCTGACATTGCCGCCACCAGTCCAACCCTGAGCCCACCAGGACTCCATTGGGATTTATACACTCAGAGCACTAAGGAAAATGCAGGAGGTGAGGGCTGATCAGGCAGGTTAAGTAAGGTCAGCTTCATCTGGAAGGTTGGCCTCAGGGTGTAGGGGGTAAGTCACCACCGAGGTGAGAGGCCCCAGCTGGTCTGGTTGTACTGCTTGCAGTCAGGACCACATTTTTCCTGGGACAGATGATGCAGTTTTCCCATGAGCAAATGGGTTTGTATGCCGACTTTGTGTTTCCTAGGAATTTGAGTCGGCCTGTCATTCTGTGTCTGGCACACGTGCCTCCAATATGCAATGTGTCTGTTTGCAGAACTCTGCAGCCTCTCTCGTGGTCCCAAGAGGTGGAGGAGCCATTGTGAATGGCCACCCGCATTCCAATGAAAGATGTGGCTTGGTTCAGGTCAGCCTGGAAACATTTCAGCCTGATCTTTTGCTTTCCCTCCTTACTGGAAATTCCCAGCATCAGAAGCTAGCCTGCATCACTGCAGAGTCAAGAAGGGCTGACCCAGAAGGACACCAGACCCAGAACTTATCCAGAGCAGAATCCTGATGAACACAGATCACTTCATGAAAAATGATCCTTGGTTATCATTCTGATTTCTGCGATTTAGAAGTAGAGATAATCTTGGAGTTTCCAGAGCAATGTGCTCTTAGAAACCTGAGGGGAAGGGTGTATGTGGGGGGCGGTGGTGGTGAGGAGTGGGGGATTGGGAGTGCTGATTTCAAATAAGATACTGTGTGTGCTCGCAGGAGCACTGTCTTCCTCTAATACATTCCATATGATGAGAGGAAGCTATCAATATGGGCATAAGAGCACCAAGACAAGAGAAGCAGATTTTGAAAATTAACAAAATGCAAAGTGATTTCTCATCGGCTTTCAAGTTTCTGTATGCCCAAAGAGAACAAAGCACAGACAATAATAATGAGGTAGAATCAGGCAGTGGTAAGAGCTTTTGAAGCCGGACTATCTGCTTTCAAACCTCACTTGCATTGCTTACTAGCTGCATATACTTTTAGCAAGCGATCTCTTCTTTCTCTGAAAACAAGACAAAAATTGCACTTACTGCAAAGGGCTACTGGCGTGATTCAATGAGGCAATGTAGGAAAGCATTTGTCTCACAGTGTGGCACTGTTTAATAAATTTATCAACAGAAATAATACTAAGTTGCTTCCAGATTTGTGCTGAAGGTAGCTATGCAAATTTTTGGGGTAGAATTGATAATGTGGGTCATTTGGTTCATCCATTAATTTAGGCAGAAAGGGGAAATGTCAGGTTTTTCACACTAACCATGGTACTACTTACCCTTGCTTGTCAGAAAACCCAAATTTTCTTCCATTTCCTACTCTCCTACACATGAAAAAGAGTCATCGTTGCTGTACTTGGTCTCTGAAAAGCACTGAACATTTGTAATTCTAATATCCTCCCCCCCAACTGTAATCAAACTTGTTGCACTATCAGATTCAATTTCCTTCTTTAAATTTCTGTTATACTAGATTCTATCCTAGTTTGATTTTTTTCCATGCAAAATATGACTTCCAGGCTACTTTGCCAGTGTGCTCACCACCCCTCTCTGTTTCTCAAGGAAGCCTCTGAGACATTCTCCACAGCCCTGGGGGAGCTGAAGGCTGGCATGTCAACCAGGGTGCCGGGCAATTTCCACACCATCCATTGCTGTTGGCGTTGGGAGCCCTGGCTGGTGCTAAGGGTTAACTCCTACCGTAAAGCTGAAGGGTGAAGTTCACCCCGGGGGGGGCTTCTGAAGAAAAGCCTGGTGCACAAGCAGCCATTCAATAGCCTCTGTGGCTCAGTTCTCCTGGGGTACACAGGGGTCTCCCTGAGTCCAAGGGCACTGTCCGCCACTGATGGACATTTACGTGTACAAATGTTTAAGAGAGGCCTGGTGACCTCGTGGATGACCCGTTGAGCACCTCAGCACAAGGTCAGCACTTCGAGCCGGCAGCTGCTCCTCGGGAGAGAGGCCAGGCTTTCTACTCTTCGTGAAGAGTGACAGTGTCGGAAACTGACACAGGTCACCTTGTCCTGTAGAATCGCTGTGGGTCGCACGGGACAGGAGGGCAGGGAGTTTGGCTTGCTTTTTGGTTTGATACCAAACATTTAGGTTTAGCAGGTGTGAGAGAGAAAAACATCGGGTGAAACATTCAAGACCATTGATGATTCTTCAAGCCACTCACTGGGCTTTACTTTCAATGACCTTTGATGTTTTCTTGATGGAAGCTATTCGGTTCATAGGAATTGCATTGTATTCAAATCCAGAAGGGACTACAAGACAGGGCAGCAATCTGTCTTCCTGGTCGAACTCCTTTGTTCTTTTCCCCTGGGTCCACCCACTGGCTGTCCAGGAGATGGCACTGGTGTTTCAAAGGAACGGCTTCCCTGAGCACCAGAAACACAGCTTGGGACGGTTGGACTAGAAAGAAACTAGACATTGAAAGGAGAAGAGAAACGCTGTGCTTCCTGAGCCCAGGAGATCACAGCTACTAGGTTTAATCCATTAATCGTCTTTCCCCATTCCTCTTTGCAGGGGCGAATGTGAACATGAAGACCAACAACCCGGACGAGGAGACCCCGCTGCACACAGCAGCCCACTTCGGCCTCTCGGAGCTCGTGGCCTTCTACTTGGAGCACGGGGCCCTCGTGGACAGTGTCAACGCGCACATGGAGACGCCGCTGGCCGTCGCATCCTACTGGTCCCTCCGCTTCAAGGAGCAGGAGTACAGCCGGGAGCACCACAGCATCTGCCGCCTGCTGCTCCGCTACAAAGCCGAGGTCAACGCCCGCGACGACGACTTCAAATCGCCCCTCCACAAGGCCGCCTGGAACTGTGACCACGTGCTCATGCACATGATGCTGGAGGCCGGCGCAGAAGCGAATCTCATGGATATCAACGGCTGCGCCGCCATCCAGTACGTGCTGAAGGTCACTTCCGTGCGCCCCTCCGCGCGGCCTGAGATCTGCTACCAGCTGCTGCTGAACCACGGGGCTGCGCGCATCTACCCGCCGCAGTTCCACAAGGTGAGGCGTGCCCCAGGGTCACGTGCAAAACCCTAAGTCAGCAGGGCGATGATCACAAAGGCAGCGCGGCCCTAAATGGCCAGGTACCTCCTGCTTAGTTGAGGCTTGAGTCCTGACTAGATAGATGCCTCTGATGCTCTACCCGATCTTCCATTCGCAGGTCCAACTCCGTGTTGTCAACACACACACACACACACACACACACACACACAGCCACCGAGTCGATGCCAACTCACAGTTACCCTATAGCATAGGGTAGAACTGCCTCGTTGGGTTTCCCAGCCTGTAACTCTTTACCGGAGTAGAAAACCTCATCTTTCTCTGAAAGAGTGGCTGGTGGTTTAGAACTGCTGACCCCGTGCTGAGTAGCCAATAGGTAACCACGACACCAGGATGGCACCCAGGGAACTCTTACCGATGCTCAGCTAGTTGAGTGAATAGTGGTACATAAAGAGGTGAATTTAATATGCCTGCTAGATGATCATGTAAAGGAATAGCGGATGCTACAGGCACACCTAACCGAGGCTGTTTGTATTATGTTGACTGTGGGAATGAATAGGGAAACCATATGCATTCCACTTGAAAACAAACAAAGTAAATAACATTATGCCAAAAATCTCTTTTTAAAAACAATGTAATTAAAAAGATGCAGAGGAGATCCACGTGTAAACCAGCTAAGTAATTAATGTAGGGTCACAGAAACCAAATTGATATAATGTGTACTTAATTAATAGCTAAAAGTCTACTTTTTGCCTTGATCAATTATTATGAGCGTGTCTGAATTCCTGCAATGTGAGGGTTAGTTAGCAGAAAAGTTTCATGAACTGCTTTAAGGGATGTGCACTCAGTCCGGGAAAAAGCCAGATGGACAAGTCAGCGAATGCTCAGAAGGAGGTACCAGGAGCACAGCAGCCCTATGTGCTCTGCCAGGGAACTTCTCTCGGTCATCAGTGTTTTAGTGAAAGATTGAGTTATTTTTTCATTAAAATTATACGTGGTGCTCAGAATTCTCTAATACTGAGGATTCCAAATGATCTGGGTGATGATGAGGATAAGATTCCAAGCCATACTGCAATCCCCATGGCACCCTTCGCTTGGAGGATGGGAGCCAAGTACTCAAGTGGAGTTGGTGTTGCCACAGGAGGCCCTTAGGTGGCGCAAACGGTTTGCACTTGACAGCTCACCTCTAGAGTGGCCCTTAGAACACATCCACAGGTCCTGTGGAAGAAAAGGTCTAGAGATAGGCTTCTGTTCCGAGTACAGCCAAGAAAGCTCTGTGGAACCTTCCGTTTCTACCCGGTAACATGTGGGGTCATCATGCGTCCAGCAGTATGACTCCGTGTGTTGGTGAAGTTAAAGGGCTTGGTGAAGTTGAAGGGCTGGGGACATGCAAAAGGATTGGCAGGGGGCCTATGCTCCCACGAGATTCACAGTCATATGTTTGACCTGGACTGGGGTCCGTCTGAATCCAAAGCCTGAACTCAGACTTAGTAGTTTCGTTGTAATTTCTGAAAACATATGCCTATGTCAGAAACTACACTGAAGTGAAAGTAGGCCAGAAAAGTCCCAAAGAGGTCCCTTTGCTGAATTCTCGAGTCTGCAGGGAGGAATACTGTTCTTGTTGTATTTGTGAACTCCACAAAGGCACATCTTACCCACCATTTGACTGTTTTCCTGGGGTTTCCCTTTGACTTTGAAGTGTGCTAGCATTTATACACGTATCTATGTCTGTTATGAATATCTGTGTCCATAAGTGTTATATATGTGTGTGAATTTCAAAAAGTTTGTGGAAAGTTTAAATACATTTTCATTCCATTCCTCCAAGAAATTTTGAAGCCCATATATAGGGTCAGCATTGACTCGATGGCAATGAGTTCAGTTTTGATGTTTAATATATATATATATTTATGCTAATGCTCTACTTCCTTATTCACGAACTAGAATTGCTCATATGAATCTAAACGAATCATCACATTTTTTATCACTTTGTACCTCAGACTTTTCTTAGAATCAAACTGTAGATTTCTTCCAAATGATTAGCTATTAATCATTTTTGACTTTAGATATTTCCAATATCTGAAAGGTCAATAATTATGATGCTGTTGAACCCTTACACTCCTGTATGATTTTAAAAGAAAGACTACTTCATAAATGGCCTGGAAAAGTAGTCTATGAAGCTTACTGTTGAAGATTTCTGTTTGACTTCCCTTATGAATTCTCAGTTTCCTTGCCATGTCCCCAATGATTTAAGGAAGTAGGCTTTTGCAGTTTTAAATATTTCTTCATGTTAAAGCTGGACTCACATCTTTTGATATTAGAACTGTTGTACATACAGCAGGCCCAGATATAAGATCAGATGGGTAGTCTTATTTGAAAAACTCAGCAATTTTTATTAAGCGTCCAGTGATCCAGAGCTGGTGTGTGAAACACCGCCTGCTCAGGTTGCAGCTGGGTCATGTGGGTGGTTCTCCCAGGAGCTGAGCTGCTCACCCAAAAGGTGGAGACTTGAGTCTCGCAGAGGTTCCTCGGAAGACAAGCCTGGTGATTGACTCACGGAAAACCAGTCCTTGAACATCCGATGCAGCATCATTGTGTTCTGACATGTAATGGGTCACGTGAGGTGGAATCCACTTGATGGCAACTGGTTTGCTTGTGGGTTGCGTTCCTTTGCTGGGTTGTATGTTGGCATCTGGATTTGGTTAAAAGCCAGACACCAAACAAGGAACCACCACCCCAAAAAACCCACTGATGAACACTGAGGAGAGCATTCAATCCAGTGTATTAGGTTGCATATGAATTTATCCCTATTTAAAAGTTTTGTCTTTGCTTTGTAGCCCATAGTTTTTTAATTCCAGACTTAGCCATGCTATCCATACCATGGATAAGGCAGCATGCATTTGGGGTCAGATAAACCTGAGTCCTATCTATGGCTTACGAAGCATATGGCTTTGAGTAAGTGACTTAAATTTCCACCTCATTTGTCCTTCTTGCCTGTGCAGTAAGGTACAATCTCAGTACTTGACCAGAGAGATCTTTTCTTACTTGGGGCACATCACACATATACCCAGAGTTCAGAGAATAGAGCAACATACCTCTGTCTTCTTTTTCTCATGTCACTTTCAATATTCGGAGCTTCTCCTTCAATCTTTTCAGTATCTATAAACATCTTTCCATTGTTCTACTTCTTGTTTGCCCTCACCCGCCTCATGCCCCCCCCCC